GTCACTTCACATCCCCATACCTTTGCAAAGGTTGTCCTTTGCAATATCCTGTGTAATGTCCTAAATTCCTGTGCCCAGCATGCATCCCTTCTTTACTTCCATCTCTTAGTCCCTCGCTTTTGTTAAGTCTCAGCTCAGGGACCATCTTCTATGTGAGGACGCTTTCTTGATTCTTTTCCCCAATCCCCTGGCTGACATTTTTGGTGCTTTCTTCCTCCACAGATTTTCTTTATCTTATGTTTACTTGTCTGTGTTCTCTAAAGGCCCTAAGTTGTGGTGCAGGTGCTGACTTGTATTGGTAGAGGGAACTTCCTCACTGGGAGTTCCCTCAAGCAGTGAAATCACTGGTTTGTTCCCCGAGATCCCTAAACCCTCATCTGTGTACTAGCTATATCCCCTTAAATTCATTCAGGTAATAAGCATTTATTAAGTACATACCAAGAGCTATGGTAGGTGATGGGGATAACAAAGGCAAAAATGAAACAATTCCTGCCTTTTAGGAGCTTGCATTCTTTCAGAGGAGACTGTTAGGAATGTAAGTCAACACAAGGTAATTTCTGGGAGGCCCAGGGGTGGGGGAAGGCTCTAGGCTCCAGTTGCTTAGAGGATCAAGAAAGGCCTCCCTTGTAAGATTGTGTGGGGGCTGAGCTTTCCTGGGCAAAGGCACAGTGAGGACAAGGAGCAGCGAGAAAGCCAATGAGTGAATGAAAGGGAATATTACATACCAAGCCTGGAAAGGCAGCATGGAGCCAGCATGGGAGCATAGGCTCCTCAAGGGAAGGGACCCTTTTGGTTTGTCTCTGTATCCCCAGAACATAGTGGTGCTTTGTATGTATTCAACAAATGTCTGTTGAATTGAAAGTTGAGGATAGATATTATGGATAGAGAGTACTCCAGTTTGGCTGGTTTGTAGGGTATGTAGAAAAACAAGGTTTCCTTTGGTGCCAAGCGGTAGGCTTTGGACTCCTTTTGACTGGCATTAAGGGCTGCAGAAGCAGAAGAATAATGTGCTTAGATCCTTGCCTAAAGAGTACTTCAGGAGCTTGTGAATGTGTTAGATGGTAAAGAGTGGTTAAGAAGCTAATGCTGGAGTCCAAGTGGGAAGTAACAAGGGCTGATACTAGACTAACTTGGGTCATAGAAAGGAGAGAATAGTCATGAAATGTTGTGCCACGGTCACTAGAACTTGATAATTGTTTGGATATGGGAGTAGGAAGAAGTCAAAGAACTTTGAGGTTGGGCAGGTATGTGGTACTTTTGATAGAAAAAAAAGAAATCTGTAGCTGTTGGTTTTGAAGAAAAGAGGATGAGTTTGGCTTCCTAATGTTTACTTCCATTTCATGTCAAACACTTCTTAAGGGCCTGCTAAATGTAAGGCACCTCTCTAGGGAATAGAAACACAAAAAGCTCCTAATCCCCTTTCTCTAGGAGCCAACATTTTCCTGGGGTATTAGGAGGTAAGGATAAGGAGATAAAAGGTAACTTGAGAAGGAACATTGCACTGATGGTTTTTAGTAGGAGATGGCATCTTGGCTGAGGCTTGAGGAGGTAATGATTCTAAGAGGGAGGAAAGAGGAGGAAATTTCAAGCACTGATGATGCCTTGCAAAGGCAGAGACTGGAGATGGAATGCCAAATCTGAGCAGCAGCAGCTAGTAGGGCATTTTATCTGGCAGTAGGGTTTGTGATAGGAAGTAATATGGAATAAGTCTGGAAAGGTGATTGGGGACCCATTGTTGAGGGTTTTAAACACCAGATCTGTGCCCAAGATGCTCGTGGTACATATAGATGAGGATAGCCTGTAGGGAGTTGGAAATGTGGTCAGCACCCAGGAGAGTAGTTAGAGCTGGAAAGATATTTGAGAGATTTATGTCTTGTTTTTACCAATTGGATGATAAGACATCTAAACAAAAACATGTCATAGGATCATAGATCTTTTTATTGTTTGTCTCAAAGAGAGGTGTTGCCATGACTTGCAAGTGAATTGGATTTAAATGAGGGAGGGCTGTACAAAGTCATCAGCCTCACTTTCTCCTCCAGAGCCATCTGGGTCCAGTGGCAAGATATAGATTGGGATGACGAGTTGATCCCACAGATCATGGCTCTAGCATAGGAAGGGACCTTCAAAGCCGTCTAGTCTAACCTTCATTTTACAGATGAGGAAACTGAATCCTAGGGAGGTTTCATGACTTGTCCAAGGTCACACAAGTAATAAGCCTCAGGATTGGGCTTTAAATTCAAATCTTCTGATTTGGGGGCAGGTCAGTGGTGCAGTGGATAGAGTGCCAGACTAATCTTCCTGAGTTCAAAAATGGCCTTAGACAATTACTAGTTGTATGACCCTGGGCAAGTCACTTCACCCTGTTCATCTCAGTTCCTCATCTGTAAAATGAGCTGGAGAAGGAAATGGCAAACCACTCCAGTGTCTCTGCCAAGAAAACCTCAAATGGAGTCACTAAGAGTCGCATATGACTGAAATGACTGAAGAACAGTATCTCACTGCAGGGTCAGTGATATTTCCACTATACCATTCTGCCTTTATTCCTCATAGTACCTTACACATAGTAGTTGCTTAGCAAATATTTGTTACACTTATTTTTATTATCTTTGTGCGTTAGCTAGCACATGGTCTGCTTTTGTAAAGGTACCATGTGGTGTTAAAAACTATGTGTTTTCTTTAATATATATATATATATATATATATATATATATATACACATTATATATATTTAATGTAACATGACATTAAATGTAATATGATAAATTTAAATATATTATAGTTTTTGTTCATGTTTTTAGGGAGTCCAAGGATTTTTAAATTCTTTCTCTTATACTTGTTTTCAGTTATTTGTTTTTGGTAGTAGATATATTACTTAGCTGCTCTTATAATTCTTGTAGTCAGGCCTTTTTTTTCCCCTCTGAGATTCTGTTTGTAGTTGATATGGAGTTAATCTCTTCTTCTGGGTTTATCTCTTAGGCCTCTCTTAACCCATAGTATTTTAGTCTTTTCTTCTGTTTACTCATATTTTCAAACTCATTTCATGGATTGTGGTTTTGTATTTATGCCAGTCCCCTCTGGCACTGTTGTGTGGGTTAGGTAGGACTTCCTTGGTCCTGTTTCCTCTGTCATCTAGATGCTGCCATGCTTTTTTCTAAAACATTTTTCTTTACTTTATTCTCCATTCATTATTTTCCCTCCCATCCCATCCTGAAATTTTATTCTGTAATTTTTATACCCTTTATTCCTTCCTTAACTTCTTTGTGTACTCCTTGGGATAAAAGCTTCTGAAGTACCAGATTTGAGTTCCCTCTTCTGATAAGTTTCTTTGTTATTGCTTTTATAGATTTTGTTCTGTCATCCCGTTTTTCTGCTGTGCTTCATTCTTATAGGTGTTAATTCATGAGGGAAGTTTGAGAGACTCAGTGATGTATGGCAGAAATTGCCAACATGTTCTAAATCCTGCACCACAGCCCCTACCTCACGATATCTCATCTCTGAGTCTGTGTCTCATAATTCCGTAAATATGTATTTGATTTTTTTTGGGGGGGGATTGAGACCTGTAAATTGGCATAGGGAACTTTCAGTGGGGTAGCTCCTACTAGTACAAATGCTATATTATTGTGCACTTTTTAGGCTTTCGGAGTTATCTGGGGGCACTGACACACATCCAGTATGTGTCAGAGACAGAACTTAAATTCAGATCTGTTTTTGAGGCCAGTTCTGTATTTACCTTGATAGGCTCCCTTGAAATCAGGTTTAATGATAAGGTATACAAATATATTAAAAGAGGCTGGAGTCCAGTTTATGAATAATGAGGGCATATTAAAAGAAGCTGAAATATGTCTAACCCTTGAAGTTTCCCTAGATACTTCTAGGGCACTGGTCCTTGACACCAGACAGGAGAAACAAAAGCTGTATTCATAGCTGGAAAGTGGCTTAAGAAGGGAACTTTGGGGGAGGGTTGAGAAGAAGAAGTGATCAGTCAGTCAACTGGTATTCTTGGAGAGAGGCACAGACATTCTCATAAAAGCCACACCTTCCCTAAGGCAAAGCTAACAAATTGTCCCAGCATTGTGTTTTTATGACTACTTTTCACCTTTAAAAATGTCCTTTTGGGAACTAGGAATTTAGGTTGATGAGCACAATGTGTGATTTTTCCTGCTGGCCAGATCCCTTGAAGCTAACCCTGGATACATCTTACAGAAACGGCCTGACATATTGACGTTAGGAAAGATGTGTGTGCTATCCTCTAAACTCTGCCTTGAGACTTCTGTTGTCTATAGAGTACTGGGTTAGAGTAATGAGAAGTCTGATGTAGTTTAACAATTCATAATTTTCTGTGTAAATTTTATGGTGGGTCAGTCTTACTTTTTGTGGCTTATATATATCTACATACACGTATAGATATAGTCTTTTCCACAAAAGATAACTGAAATAAAAATAAAGCAACTTGTTAATCTTACTTTAAATTATTATTATGATTTTTTTTCAGAGGGAAGGTTTGCTATTAATACTTGGTGAGAAGGGAACAGGTGTATTATTTGTTTCTTTTCAGAGTAACAAAGGAGTAACATTTACTGAAGTGAACTATATCTCTTGTTTTTCCTTTCACTTCTTTCCTAATTGCTTTGCGTCTAGAATATAGTGCTAGTAAATGCTCATCAAATGTTCAGAATACCAGGGTGAAAACAGTAGCATTGTAAGATATGTAACAGCATTGAATTGCAGAGTAGTAGGTCTTTAGGTGTTCTTTAAAAAACAAACAAATTCAAGAAAACTCTATTCAGAATCTTTGCTGTGTCATAAATTATGCTATACCTGGAGCTACACTTTGGAAAAGTCACTAACCAGGATAGTTCTGTTTGGTGTTGGTGTTTAGCTTTAATTCTTGAATGAATAAAATCTATCTTCTTCATATAGAAATATGATGTAAAAATCTAACAATTTAAAATTTTTCTAATGCAATATTTTAAAAACTAACACTATTTAAATTATTTCAGTTTCAGAGTAGTAAAAAAGAAAATTCATCAAAACAGAGGGAAGCAGAAATGGAACCAAAAGACAAAATTTCTTGCCATAAATATCAAAGGTCTGGGCATATGTTTTGGAACAAAAATATCATGACTTTTAGATGCTGGACTTGGCAAAATGTATTCACTCTTGTTTTCTTTGTGCTAGGAAAGCAAACACTGAATATAGAGCTAAATTTTTGTCCCCATCTCAGTATTTATACAGAGATGGTGCTTGGAAACGGGTGAGGGAAAACACGCTAAATCAGGTGAGTATTTGAAGCTCAGATTTTCTCTAAGGATATAGAAATGTTGAATTCTTCTTGAGGTCTTTGTGTTAGTGATGGAATATGGGATGAAAAGCTTATTGTGCCTTGAAGATTGTATTGTTAAAATTAGAGCATGAACCCAGTAGTGTGATCAGCAGGTTTGGACACAGATTTAAAAATGTTCTGAAGGCCTGTCTACTTCTTGTGCCTGTCTAGGTTCTTCCACATCTGAGTAAACTTAGTTTAGGTACCTGCCCCTGCAGAATAGCTAATTAGTGCAGTCATTATTTGTAGAGGCTCTACAGTCTCAAATCAAGTTATAGTTAAGTCTTCTGTTAGATGATGGCACCCACTGGAAAAATGTGATGCTGCAGTCAACGGTTCGGGTATTCAGGAAGGAGGAGAGATGCCAGTGGAGTCATGAGTCTGGAGCAGGGAATAATTCTTGTGATCTGAAAAAGGGATTTGGGCTAGAAGTGGGTTGTAGAGTCATTCTCAGAATTGGAAAATAGCAGGAAGCCACATGAAGCCATTAGGTGAAAAAGGAAAACGCTTTAGGCTATGATACCATTAAGATCATTGACACATTTTAGCTTAATAGTCAAGGTTCTCTGCTTTTACAATACCTACATGATTTAAAAATTTAAGTGGAGATCTAGTAGTTTAGTTTAGAGCAGGAATTTATTGGCAGAGTTACCAAAATAGGTTATCAGTCTGAGAAGAGGATGATTCTGTCCTGTAGCAACATACTGAAAACCAGCGCATTCCTGAGGGATGGAGAAGGGACAGCTTGTCCCAGGCTTTGTGCTTTCAGTCCAGTCCCCATCCTTTTACTGCTGTAATAACTGGGGCCTTGAGGAAGCAGAAGGTGGCTTTTTCGGCTGGAGCTAACAAGTCTTCAGACTTATAGTTGATCCCTTAAGATGTAAGCATCTTGAGTAGAGATTGTTTCATTCTTTGTATTTATATATACACAGTACCTGACACATACTCAGTGCCTAGTAAATGCTTCTTAACACTCTTGTAAATGATCTTAACACCTCCTATTATTACCAAAGGTTACATACAACCCTCAGGTTGCATTTCACAAGAAGGTAATATCTTTTTCCATTCATATCTTCCCTTTATGTTAATTTTGACCTGATCTCACTTCTTAAAAATCAGAAATGGGGATGAGTTGTATAGGAGGAGGACAGCTGAAATAAACTACTTGTGTTATCTTATTCAAGCTTCACAACAGTAAGTAACAATAGTAAGTGGGTACTTTTATTATCCCCATTTTATAGAATAGGAAGCTGAGCCTGAGAGAGGCTGAGTGGCTTGTATAGATGATGATGTTTTCCAGGAGTTCAGAGGAAGGAGATACTATTGGTGGGCTACAGTGGGTCGGGGAAGTTTTAAAGTAGTTAGGAGACCCCCTTTGCAGTCTGGTGAAACCTGTGGACCCTTTCTCAGAATATTGTTTTTAACTGTACAAAATAAAATGCATAGGATTACAAAAGAAAACGATTATATTGAAATGGCAGAATATTTTTTAAAATTCACAAGTTCATGTTAAAAACTCAGGTTAAAAATTTCAGTTCTAAAGGTTGTAAATTCTTTACTTGAGAGAACATTTCTTATCTGTTTAGGTAAAATGAGATGGTGAGTCTACCAGGCTATTCACCTCTCGATTTTACGTTTTCAGGGAACTAGAGAGAGGTGATTTTTTAATGAAGGACCAAATAGTTTTTATATTTCCTGGAAAGGAGAAAACTCCCAATGTCTCTTTGTATTAATATAGTTTATCCTTTTTTTTTTTTTTGTGAGGCAGTTTGGGGTTAAGTGACTTGCCCAGAGTCATACAGTGAGTGTCATGTGACGGAGGCTGGATTTGAACTCAAGTCCTCCTGACTCCAGAGCCAGTGCTCTATCCACTGTGCCACCTAGCTGCCCCTAGTTTATCCTTTTAATGAAGATTTTTAAGTGGGTAGAAAATCATGAGATTGCAGTAATAGCTGCTACTGGGGTGGTTACAAACATTTTAAGTAAATTGTATAGTTGACATCTGTCACAGATGCTGTTAAGGTGAAATGGCTTAGAAAAGAAAGTGAATTCTAAAAAGAAAAGAGCACCAGAGATTCTTTATAAAAGGAGATGTTTGTTACCAGGCACGCCACTACTGAAGATGGAAGAAATTTTAGCTGTGTTGACACCATGTATATGTAAAATGTAAGACATTTAAGTTACATGTCTTTATTTGCATTTAGTTTGTTCTTTTTAACTTTTTCTTTTAAACATGGATTTTTTTTTTCATATTGCATTTTAACTGGTTGGAAAATTAAGGCATGAACAGAAAGAAATGCAGTTTATTTATATGTAATTTATATGTTATGTTATATAAGTGGAATATGTTGGATGCCCATGAGAATTGTTGGACTTCTTGTTGGAATTTTCAGTGCAGTTTTAACTCTTCTAATGAAATTGGCTGTAGGGACGGTATAATTGAAAAGAATGCAGCATTGTTGCTTTTAGTTAACCTAAGGTTTATGAGAACAGTAATAGAATCATAGATTGTTTGAACTCAGAAGCATCTTTGTGTGCCATCTGTAATGGATGCCATTGTCCCTGCATCATAGCGTTGATGTCACGAGAGTCTCTCAAATGAAATAGTGTGTCTGGAGTGCTTGGTAAGTCTTATGCCACCCAACCCCTTGTTTTGCAAATGGAGAGAAGCCCAGTGGGGTTATGTGGTTTGTGCAAGGTAGACTTGAGGTCATGTCTTTGTATTTCAGGTTCACTGTACCTTCCACTATTCAAGAAGCCCAATTTGGGAGATTTGTAATTCTTGTAATTATGATTGTTTTTAACTAAAATAAACTTGAAGATTCTGTGGGATGAAAATTAATGTAGAACATTGTAACAGATTACTGATAACAAACACTGACAAAGAAATGATGTTTAAATAGAAATGATGTTTAAATGAGTTGGAAGCATTGAAGATTATATACCCATGACAAATAGAATTATATTAACTATAGTAGAAATGTTGTTAAAAATAATGTTGGCATTAGATAATAATCATTGGTTTAATGAGAGAGATCCTATAAACCACTCTATATGTAGGAGACATTTCCCTTGCAATATAATTTAACTGGATTTTGAAGATTTTTTGTATTTAGACTACACAAGTATTTTGGTAGAATTAGGCAATAGGAGAAAAGTTCTGGAAAAAAATGAATGTTTCTTTTAGTCTTTATCTGTTTAATGCAGCAGACTTATGGTAATGCTTTTCATGTAAGACGGACATTCTTAAAACCGAGTATGAGTGCTACTCCAAAGAGCAGAAAAAGTTGCCAAGGCTCTGGTCCTGCCTCCTTTGGACTTAGGGATTCTCTAGAGATTTGACATGATCTTTATCCCTTTACTTTCACCAGGGCTCTGTTACAGGGCTTTGAATATATTTCTCCAGTTGCTTTAGTAATGCCAGACTTCCTTACTTTTTTTAGTTTAAATAGGTTTAAAAAAGGGGGCAGCTAGTTGGCACAGTGGATAGAGCACCAGCCCTGAAGTCAGGAGGACCTGAGTTCAAATCTAGCCTCACAGCAAACACTTGAGACTTACTAGTGTGACGCTGGGCAAGTCACTTAGCTCCAGTTGCCTAAAAACAAACAAACAAACAAACAAACGAATGAATAAATGAATAAATAAGATAAATAGGTTTAAAAAAAAAGACTGGCCAGATGCAGGCCTGGCTGAAAGAATGGTAAATATAAAAATAAAGAGGTAAATGTAGTTCTCAGTTTCTGCACAAAGACACCATTTTATTCTATTTGGATTTAGTGTCTTTATTCCTTTAGCTTCTATTCTTTGCTATGCTAGAGATTATTTTAAAGGTCTTAAAGGTTTTTTGTGAGGAAAATATATAATTGAGACATTTCTTTTAAAAACAGCTTAGAATAGTATTTAGTAATAAGCCAACAGGTGGCAGTGTGATGCAAACAATTAAAGGATTTCAAACCACTGAAAAGTTCCTTAAGCCATTTTTTATTCAAAAGGACACAACTAAAAGCGCTTTGCAAATTAGTAGGAAGATAAAACTACATTCTGAACATTTAAAGAAGTATTCATTTTTTTATGTCCTGTCCTTTCCCGATGTATGTATGTATGTATGTATGTATATTGTAGTTTAATCCCAAACCGCATACTATGAAGAAATAGCCCTGTTTTTCTTAAGAGATCTCACAAACCTGTTCAGAAATTCAGAGAAAAGATTTTTTGCTTATCAAAGAGTTGGTGGGGTTTGGGGTAGTAGCACATAAAAGCTAAGATTCTTTTCAGTCAGTGTTAAAATGCGTGCTGTGGGTGTGTGTGTGTGGGGGGGTCCTGAGCCAGCTAATGGAGGGAGGGGGTAGAGAAAGAAGAAAACAAGGCCAGCCTCTTGGAACTTACCAGCTAGTTGGGGCAGAAAGTACATTAGACTTGGAATCAGAAGACTGGGGTCTGAATCTGGCACTGCTGCTCCTTGGTTGGGCACGTGACTCCACTTTCTCAAGCCTCATTTTCTTTATCTATAGAATAGACTATTAGAAGCAGGACTCTGTTAAGAATCAAATGAAATAATGCTTAGTAGCTATAAAGCCCTATATCAGTGTAAGTGGTTATTATGTGTTGGAGAATTAAGCCGTTTTGGCATTTGCTTGCTCTGAACAGATGGAAATTTGGAACCCAGGTATATAGGTTGAATGATGGAGTCAGGATATGAAAAGAACAGATCTGGGCTAGAACAGGTGTTCTTAGCCTGGGAAGGAAAGAAGGAACGAAATAAGCATTTTATTAAGTACCTCGTATGTACTGGACACTGGGCTAAATGGTTATAAATAGTATCCCATTTGACCCTAACAACCACCCTGGGAATTAGGTGTTGTTATTATTGCCACTTTACAAGTTGCAGAAACGAAGACAGAGGTTTTGTGACTTGTTCAGGATCACACAGTTAGTATGGAGTCAGAGGCTGAATTTGAACTTGACTTCCTGGATCCAGACTGAGTGCCTGCACTGCACCACCTAGCTGCCTCTTATCACAGACCTTGGGTGGTCTGCGGACTTGTTCAGTATTTTGGTGACTTTACTTCAACATAGTTTCTTTTGTAATCATATATATTTTGTCTTATGCATTTAAAAACATTACTCTGAGAAGAAATCCATAGGTTTCATCCTATTGCCAAATGGGAGTCCATGCCACACACAAAAAAGATTAAAAACACCTGGTCTAGAATAATGGGCTTAACTGAATAAGATGGAATTGAATAACGATCAGTATAAAATTTTACACAGGTTCAAAAAAATGTATTTCGCGAAGTTGAGGTAAATGTGTGTAGATAGCAGTTTCTCTGGAAAACAACCTGGGGGTTGATATCAACATGAGTCAACAATGTGACATGGCCACCAAACTGCCTCCGGTAATGTGAGGTTGTATGAAGTGCTGTCTAGCGTTTAGAGGACTAGGTGGATGATGGTCCTGTCCTGCTCCGCCCTGGTTTTGACCACCTTCGGGGTGTTATGTTCAGTTCTCAAAACCACCTTTTAGGAAGAACATTGATAAACATTAGAGCATCCAAGAAGCATGACCAAGATGATGAAGGCCTTCATCTCATGCTGTATATGGATTGGTTAAGGAACTGGGAATGAGAAGAGAAGATTTGGGGGCAAGATCACCACTTAAGCCTTTATTAAGTGCCTACTGTATGCCAGCTGCTGTTCTAGGAGCTGGGCTTCCAAAAACAAAAGTGACACAATCCCTGCCTTAGTTACTAACATTTATTTGCCTTTATTATGTATGTACCAAGTAAATGCAAGATGTATTTGGGAGGAGCAGGGGGGAGACACCGGCGATTAGGAGGGTCAGGGCCTCATTTTGGAGATGGCATTTGAGCTGGCCTTTGAAAGAAAAGGTTTCTGAGAGGCAGAGGTTAGGAGAGAGGGCATTTCCGGCATTTGGTGAGGTATGTCTGTAGGCATCGTGACAGGAGATTGGAATATTGTGTATAAGGAATAGTGGCACAGCCAGTTTGGCTGGACTGTTGCATGCGTGAAGCAGAAGAGTGTGTAAGAAAGCTGGAAGTAGGTGGGACCTGGTTTCTGAAGGGCTTCAGAATGCCAAATAGAGGAGTTTGTATTTGATCCGAGAGGTAATGGGAAACCACAGAAGCTTATTGAGTTGGGGAGTGACATGATCAGACCCCCTTCACATGAGGAACACCACTTTGGTAGCATGTGGATGAGAGGGAGCAGTCTTCACATATTTGAAGGGCTGTCATTTGGGAAAAGGATCAGTCTTGTTCTCTTTGGACCCAGAGGGTAGAAGTGGGTGGAAGTTACAAAGAAGCAGATTTTGGCTTGTGAGGAAAACTTGCTGCTAGTTAGAGCTCTCCTGTAACAGTGTGGATGTTTCAGAAGGCAGGAGTGGGGCCCACCCCACCAGAGGGCTTCAGTCAAAGGCTGGCTGACCAGTGGAGAAGGGTTGTTGTAGAGAGGATTTTCATTCAGCTATGGGTTGGACTTAATGACCTCTGAGGGCCCTACTATCTTTGAGATTTTGGGGAATTTGAGAGAATAGCATTGAGTCAGTTCTGTGTATCTGAAAGTGAGGATGATGATGTGTGATTAATTGGTTTCCAGTGATGATGATATGGTATTATCATACTGACATATTTCAAATGTGTTTTCTGTATTCCTCCTCCTAGGGTTCTCAAAACACCCTAAATTCCCTGTGGTATGCTGAGGTTGGTTGCTTCTGAGTTTTTAAAAAATCTATTGCATAGAATATTTGTGCAAGCTCAGACTGAAAATAAAAGACTCCAGAATTACTATATTCCTAGTTGCTACATAATCTCCTTGCCTGCTGAATGAATAACTAGCACTGTGCTTTAGCTTGACACTTCTGATTTCTGCTTTCAGAATGCGTTATAGTCATGTAAATGTGGCTAATTTTTTCTTTTTTTTTCATTTTGTGGCCTGATTTGTGCTGTGGATGTTCAAGATTGTCTGTCTTTGCTTTTTTTGATATTTGTAACAAAAACTTAGATTTTATAGTGATACCTGGCATATGATTCCTTCCTATATAGGTTAAAGAACTTCGAGAGAAAGCTGAGTTTTATAGGAAACGGGTACTTGGGACACATTTTTCTCGGGATCATCTGAACCAGATTCTCTCTGAAAACAATTGCCTATGGGATGTCTCTTCTGTGTCCAGCTCAGAAGGAACTATTAGTAACAACATCAGAGCCCTAGATCTTGCTGGGTGAGAATCCCCCCCTTTTTTTTTAAGATAGTAAAACTGTTCATCATAGTTACAAAACTGGGATTTAAAAAAATAAATGGAGTAATGATATCAGAAAATGACACCTATCACTCAGACTTTACAGATGCTTTGACAAGTGAAAATTACTCTTAAGATCTTATTGATTCCAAAGTGAATACCAGTAAATATGTACCAAAGAAAAAGTGCCATAGGAAGTAGGAGCAAATAAATTTGGCTTTGTTTATTGTATATGATGAAATTAGTGTATCTGGTGTGGGGGATGAGTGCAGAATCTCTTTGCTCTTTATGCTTGTTGATTTAATTATGTCTTTAAACATTCACATGTCTAAAGGAAAATTTACCACTTCACTGGATGGAGGTTTCCTCATTTTCAAACATGTTTGTGCTTTTAAAATGAGCACTTGTATGTGAAGATTGAGTAACAGTGCAGGTGGCCATGTAGGCCACATGACTTGCTAGTGCCTGTGTGCAGGCAGCTGACAGGTGTGGGTTTTGTGGGCTTTGGGGGTATGGCTTCATGAGTGAATTTTCATGTAATTGCATGTGCAACATGGAGCTAATTGCTTTTATATTCTGAATTGTGTGTAAATTCCAGATGACTACTTTCATTGACTATTCTTTAAAGTGAACCTATTTGTGTGTGTTACCCCTCTTTCTTTATATCTGTTGCAGTGGCATAAGACACACACGCGCACACACACACACATGCACGCACACACACATATACACACACATGTTATTTATACATAGGTATACATAAATATATATATTTATGGATAATGGAGGAAAATAAGCTGGGATAAAATCACTTCAAACTGGAGAAACTGTGTTATTAGCTTATAATTAAATTTGTTTTGGTCATACAGAGATCCTATAGGTCATAAGACATTGCAGAGCCATGATTCCAAAAAAAAAGCAGAAGAAAGACCACCTTTGGCAACACAGTGCCAGAAAGATACTACAGAAAAATTGGGTGTGTCAGATGCTCTCACCGTCCCTATTAGAAGAAAACTGGCTTGGGATGAAGGCAGCACTGGTGATCAGATACATAACCATGAAAGAAGAGTGGAAGAAGAGAAAAATGTAAATGCCAAGCAGGATTGTAGAGAGGAGGCCAAGGAATTAGAAGAAAGTGATAGCGATGCCAAGAGAGACAGGGTCCAAGCAGGGTGAGTTTTTAATTGCCTATTAAAGGAAATCACTTTTCCTCTACATTGTACTTTATGGTTATATACTTAATTTGATGTGAAAGGCAGAGGATTTATTTGATATTACATTTTGTTAGTAATCAAGTAAAATGACTGGGAAGTTTTCAAATGTGTAGACAAATTGCAGCATATTTTGCATAAATATCATAAAATAGGTCCCTTTTTGTGACACCACTGAAGTTAAGAATTTGGCTCAGTTATTTCCTGTGGAAAGTTCAGTTGTCCTGTGGCCCCTTCCCCATAATCAGAATTCCTTGCCTTTCACATTACTTTTTCAAACTAGTGTGGGGTATTGGTCTTCCTGGCCAAGGGCATTTCAGGATAGCTATTTGGAGTAAGAGTCAGCCCTCATCTGGCAAGGTGAGTCAGTTATCTGTACTTTATAGCATCAGGTCTCTTTGGTATGAATAATCTAGATTTGATTACATTTGATAATGGAAATGTCCCTCTTGTAAGTTTAGAATTAACCATTGCATGTCAGTGACACAAATGTCTTTGATCATGTTTTGCAGAGAGACTGCTTCACCACCGAGTGCTTCAGCATCAAATGGGTCAGATTCTTCTTCTGTGTCCTCAGGAAAAGGTGGCCGGCTCCCAACGCCAAAGCTGAAAGAACTTGGGGGACCCCCTAGGACTCATCACGATCTAACTACTCCTGCTGTTGGTAATAAGGAGAGAAGAGCTAGCAGAATCTTTTCTGCCTAGTGCTGTCCAGTTTGCTTTAAATGTGTTGCCTTCTGCATTCTTCCAGGGGGTGCTGTTTTAGTGTCTCCATCTAAAGTGAAGTCTTCATTCCCAGAACATAGGAGAAAAAAGTCTTCTCCAGATTTCTTAGGAGAAACTTCAAAAAACGAATCTAATAGGGTAAGGTAGAGTCATTGTTGGTGAATGTGTTTAATGAGGTGGGGGGTGGGAGAGCAAGAAAGCCAAATCTCTTTCTGGTTTAAATAAATATGTTAGCACTATGCAGTAAATGCCTAACAACTTAAACTCTAGAAGAAGTACTCTTTGATAAGGTAAGATGACTGGCGACTTGCTTTTAGTGAAGTATACACTTGAAATGGTTTTTCTAGTAGTGGAAATTAATTTGCTGACCACAGTCCCCCACCTGCTGCTGTTTGTAAATAAGGAAGCAAACATTAATGAGATGGCTTGTTGGGGTTTAGGGTATATAGTCTATGGTCTAATGTAGAAATTGGAGCTATTATTTTGGCTGTATTAGCTCTGTACTTTAATCAAGTGAGCTGACTGTATGTAGATGAAACATGTATAGTCTTAGAATAAATAAGGTGGCTTATTGTAACTTAATTTTTATTTTTAAATTTATTTGATATTGTGCAATAGAGAATAGCAGAGCAGTTTTCTTTACAAGCTGATTAGCATCAAATACTGACTGGTTTTAACTGAAGCTTCAGAAAACAGATTTTGTAGTAGTGGTTTCAGGTTTAAACAATTTTAACCCCATCCTTGTATCATTTCAAAAGAGAAAAAACCTTAACAATTTCGATATGGTAAGTGCAGATGCAGCTTTCGTCAGAAGTAAAATGCAGGCTCGGACCTTGAGAGCCAACTGTGGCCGGGGTGGTGTGGCTCAGTTTGCTCGGCCATGTTGATGGCTGCTTTGGTTAGAACCACACTGACTCCTTAAGAGAATAGCAAAAGAAACAGGAAGTGAAGACTGAAGTTCATCTTGTAGTTTAAGTTTCTCTAGGAGCTTCTGCTTTGTTTGTTTGTGATGCATAATTTTAAAAACTACATATCATTAAGCTACATAATGAAATTGTAGAGTTATAAGACTGTTCAGTTAATGTTTTGTTCTTGGGTTCTCTGTCAGGGTCCTCAAGTACTACTGAGTGGTAGTGTAGTAGAGTAGTACCGAATGTGCATTGTGGCATGACTCTGGTTTTTGTGGTTCACTTTTATTATAGTCAAATTAGAAATATTTGAATAGTATTAAATAAATGAATGCTACCTAGCATTCAGGCTGCATTCTAATAGGCAACATGTAAGAGGTGAATAGCAGCTTTGAATTTGAAAATATTTACATGCTACAGATTGCCAGGTGATTTTCACTAGATGTTTTAGCTATTCATTGAGTAAAATCACATTGGATAAAAATGGCCCTGTTCAGATGTGAGTCCAGTAATTCTTAACCCTTTTGTGTCTCGGACTCCTTGGGCAGTCTGGTGAATAGATCTATAGTTCAGAGTAAAGTTTTTAACGGAGTAGAATAAATCTGTGGGACTACAAAGGAAACTAATTGTATTGGAATGTGCTTATCAAATATTATGAAATAATGATAACATCATAAAACAATTATTTCTTTAAATTTTACTGAATATAAATACAATGCCATTAAATATTATTAAAAGTTTTAAAAATATTTAAAAGTTAATTTTTTTAAAGTTCACAGACCCCAGGTTAAGAACTCCTGTGTTTATGTTTGTATTTTGTTTGGAGGAACTCTATTGATCAGGTAGTTTGTACCCCATACAGGTGAGCTCTTTCCATTGTTTGGCAGCAGTCTCAATTCAAGAAAGGTAGTTACTCTGTGTAGCTTTAAGTTTCATGTAGATATTATTCCCATATAGTTTATCTCCAAAAGAGAAAAAAGTAACAGTCAAGAAATTGAAAGATTCTCTGCCAGTCAGCCCTTGACTTGTAAATGATGACCACTCCAGAGATTTGCATTTTTAGCATTAAGATCCTTTGCATAGCTGCAGTTTTTCTGTTTCTATTTTCTCTTACATGTGAAGAAGAATTAAGACCTAGAAGCACAAAAGGGAGATAAATCAAAGCTTTTCATAGGATTGGTTTAGGAGCACTTGTAGAAAAGATTTGGTTCTTCATCACTAGGGAAGATAAAGCCATTAGCTGCAGAGAGAGAAGAAAGGTTGGTAGGACTTTGCTATCAGCTGAAGCTAGGAAGCAGTGAAGTAGCCTAGGGGTTTTAATACTGGAGTGAATAGGTTAGAGAAAGCACGAAGTATGTTGGTTTGAAGATCCAAGAAGAAGGGACTAGTTAGGAATGAGAAAGGTATCAGCTTTATCTGTCTTTTTAAAAATAAATCATGCTTTGTAGAAATTACACACTTCAATGTTTTCTGTCTTTAGCTGTTTTAATAGTTATATGGTTCTATCTAAAGAAGAGAAATGAGCGTACTTTAGTCTAGCTCTCATGTAAAGCTTGAGCTTTTATGATTTGAACCACAGTCTTCTGATAGGGGCCCTACCACCAGCTAGGGTCTGCATACTTATAATGTAGGAAAGATAAAACCTAAGAGAGACAACCACTTTAGCTCTAAACTAAATAGACAAGCAGATACCATAGGAATTCACTTAGGAATTGTCAGGCAGGAGAACATCAGTGATCAGCAGTTCAATGAGTATTTACCATATAGATATTTATTTAAAGCATCCAAAGCCCTATTTATAATCTATTTTGTTCTTCTTGCAACTTTCTTTTTCTTTTTCTTTTTTTTTTTGGCAAGGCAATTGGGGTTAAGTGACTTGCCCAGGGTCACACAGCTAGTAAGTGTCAAGTGTCTCATCTGGATTTGAACTCAGGTCCTCCAGACTCCAGGGCCTGTGCACTATCCACTGTGTCACTTAGCTGCCCCCTTCTTGCAACTTCCTAATCGGGAGGCATTACTACTGCCATACTGCTCCCATTCCAATTCTTTTCTCTTGTATCATCATAAGCCCTTCATTCTATTTTTCTTAATCTTTTAGAAAGAACTTGGGCCTAGACCCTTATTGACTCCTCTAGCAGCTGGTTTGAAAACAGTGGATCCCCTCCCTTTGAGAGATGAGATTGAAACCAGTATTTCCAAATCTGACGGGGCTCATCCAGGACCAAAGCATCCTGCGCATTCCATAAAAGTCCCTGTGCAGGGGACTACTCAGCCTCTCTGTGTTCCATCATACTGGAATCCATCTTGTCGCATTCAGGGATCTCTCAGGAATGCAGAGTTCCAGCATAATGGTGAGCTTTTATTTAATCTTGTTCTTTAAAACTTATATCATACTGACATAGATAGATATATAAATACACACACACACAAATACACATGCATGTATATTACATATACACACATATACATATACGTGTTTATTGTTTATAAAGTTGTTGTCAACAACAATGAGCATGTCTCATAACTGAAGTAGTGAAAGTGCTAACTGGTAGTAACGCATGAGACAAACCTCTTACTTTATAGCCGTGCACATGTTGTGAAAATGATGTGATTTGTTAGCGTTACATATGCTGTTAGTTTCTACATCCAACAAGTGAGATTTAAATTACAGTAGAGACAGTTCAAATTGGTAACGGCAGCAGCGGAAGGATCCCTTCCCCAATAAATCGAATGAATAGTGGGCATTGTCCAGCTGTGTGCATGTCCAGCTTAGCAATTTCATCTTAGCACTGTCAGTCTGACAGCCTGGTCCACTATTCGTAGTGGATACCTTTACTAGATAGCTGTATCATGCTTTTATATTTATAAAAATTATGAAATTGATATTCTTTGGTAGTCTACCTTCTGTAAGTGGTTTTATATAAAGAAGTCAGCTATTTGGAGCCAAAACAAATCTATTTTGCTTTTTTCCCCCCCATAGGAAACCTTGTGAACCCAAGAACAGGCCTTTACCATTTACCTCACCAAGAAGTCAATGATGAAGGTAATTTACTAAAAATTGAGTGAGACTTGATTGAATGTAAGGTTTCTAAAAATTGCTGTTTCATGAATCCAGCCCACAAATCAGTGTTTGGGTCTAGAATAATATTTTATATATTTTAATTGCCCATGTTTACTTGTATATTTTTTCCTCAGAAACCATTTTCCCCTTAGTTGAAGAGCAAATACATTTTTTCTCTGCATAATTTTCACTCTCACTGATTGTTATTAGTACCAGTAGGAAGAGCTCTGAAAGTTTGATGGGAATGTTTGAAGAAGGTGTAAATGACTCTATTAACAAAATGTGCTTGAATTTCTCAATTATTAATTACTAAAATACCTGTATTTATATTCACACATTTCAGGGTTTGATATTTTCCCCCCTGCATTACTAGCCCTCCTAGGCTTCTTTTTGAAGATTTAGTATGGTCATTGAATCATTATATATTTAAAAATGCATATGCTTGAGATCTCTTAATGCACATTTTTTACTAGGTAGACTTTTTTTTTGCCATTAAGCATTCAGCCAAATTTTCCTGAGTAGATTATTCTGAGAAAGAAAATTGAGTACTTAACTGAATTTATTGTTGTTCAACTCTTTGAATAGTGTCCAACTCTTTGAGACCCCAGTTGGGATTTTCTTACCAGAGGTACTGGATCGGTTTGCCATTTTCCTCTCCAGCTCACTTTACAGATGAGGAAACTGAGGCAAACAGGATTACGTGACTTGCCCAGGGTTCCATAGCTAGTAACTGTCTGAAGCCAGATTTGAACTCACCAAGATGAGTTTTCCTGACTCCAGACACAGCACTCTATTCACTGTACCACCTAGCTGCCCTACTTAATTGAATTACAAGCTCCCAAAATTAGAAGCAGTTTCTTTTTCTCTAAATTGTCTTAAAGTTTTAAAAATGTGCCATAATACTCATAGTAGGGAACATATTAACATGTGTTCTGCTTTTAAGAGGAAAGAAACCTAGAATTATGAGTAGTGTTAATGGGTTGGAAGCGACAAGGCTGGGATCTAGTCCCACCTTTCCTGTTGGCCAGTTTGGGAACTTTGTTCTGTGTCACTTCACATTTCTGGGACTTGGTTCTCTCATCTATAAAATGAAGGGTTTGGTCTATTAAATCATCTTGGAGCTTGTGACTTCTACCTTTCCTATTCTGATGATGTTACATTATAGGACTTGTTGGTATTTATGGCTATGTTAGTTTCCTTTTTACTGAGTTGTTATAAACATGTACAAGGAATGAATGATAGGTTTTGGTTACCCTGACTTGTAATTGTGGATTTTTCCATTGTAGATGATGACAGATTGTCCCAGATTTCTGCTCGATCTGCAGCCTCTAGTCTGATGGCTTCTCAAACTTTGGCACGTGCTCAGAAAAGGAAAGAGAATTTTTGGGGCAAAAAATAGTGATCTTTATGAATGGCTCTTTCCATTTTGGTGACTATTGCTGTGATTATTTTTTTTTTCATTCCAAGGTTTTTAAAGTATTTGGGATTCTTGTATTTTGGGGGGAAGGAGAGGTTGGCTTTGTCTAGGGATATGAGTAACTATATTCTAATAGCCATTTCAGTTCAGTCATTTTAATTTTTTTTCTTTATGTAGGCAAATTGAATTTTAATTTTAAATTAATTGCCATTTTAATCTTACCTGAAAAGATATTAATGGATTTATCTAGTCCTTCACATGTTCTGAACTTAACTATTTCTCATCAAGCATAGTTGGTAGAATTAAGAATGACATCTGTTACCAAGAGTATTCTGAAAAGTTAAACTGTGTAAAAACTAAGAACTAAGTTTGAAATGTGTGGTTTTGTAGGATTGGTTACTTATGTTTATAAATTAAAGATGTCATAAGTTGAGTCTGTACCCACAATGTTCACTTCTAGTTTTTTTTATTTTTAAAAAATGTTCTTCAGAATATAGTTACTCTTAGTATGATTAAAATAATTGTACTTAGGGTGAAAATATTAACTGTATATATATTTTTTATCTTATATAAGAAATTTGCTTGAAATATGTATATTTTTGGTCTCTTGTGTTTTCGATTTGTATGAGAGCTTTGTCTTACATTTTAATAATGTTTGAAGGTGGAAAAGTTATTTGTACAATGAAGCATTGAAACTTTTTAGACATTTTCAAATAAAAACGATCAAGTGTGTTTGTCTTCTCCAGGAAGTTATTTCATGGAACGGTGGTAATCTTTTTACAGGGTTTTTCCTCCAAGAGCAAGGTGACCAAAATTTTCTACACTTCCTTTAAAGCTTTTGTTACAATACAATAGAAGATGAGTCCAGATCTTTTACCTTTTTGTGGTGGGGGGGAGGGTAAGAATGTTAAGGGAGACATTAGATAGAGAACCAGTATCTTTAATCTCTTCTCTTTACTTCTAGGGCACAAGTAAGTCGAAAAGCATTTATCAAGCACTCCTTCTATGTTAGCTAGAGACTATACTAAGTACTGAAGATAGAAAAAAAGTAAAAAAACACAGTCTCTACCCTGAAGGAGGGCACCACGTTCTAATGGGAGAGACAACATGAAAGCAATTAGGTGCGAACAAGATAAATACAGTATAAATGGGAGGTAATCTCTGAGGAAAGACACTAGCAGTGAGGATGGACTGTGAAAGGCTTCTTGGAGAAAGGGTTTGAACTGAGTCTTGAAGGAAGCCAAGAATTCCAGGAAGGGTGTTGTGGAGGAAAGGATGCCAGGCCTGGGAGCCTTTCTTGGAAAGGCTGGGGCTCAGGAGATGGCACTTCAAGAAGGCCAGTGGATGGTAGAGTAAGGGGAGAGGAATCAAGTGTACCACACCTAGAGAGGGAGAAAGGAACGAGGCCTCGAAGGATGTTAAAAGCCAAGTGGGATTTTATATTTTATCTCGTGGTGATAGGGAGCTACTGGAGTTTCCTGAAAAGGGGGTATGACCTGGTCAGATACATGTTTTAGGAAGATCACTTTGGCAGCTGAGTGGAGTTTGGACAGCTGAGGCAAGGGGACCAACCAGCAGGCTTTTGCAACAGTTCAGGCAATTCAATTCAATAAACATTAATTAAGCACCTATTACATGCCAGGCAGTTAGGTGATACTTTGGATAGAGTGTAGGGCCTGGAGTTAGGAAGACCTGAGTTTAAATCTGGCCTCAGGCACTTACTAGTTGTGTGACCCTAGGCAAGTCACTTCACCCTGTGTGCCTCAATTTCCTCATCTGTAAAATGAGCTGGAGAAGGAAATGGCAAACCACTCCAGTATCTTTGCTGAGAAAATCCTAAATAGGATCACGAAGAGTCAGACATGACTGCAAATGACTAAACAAAACGTGCTAGGCAGTCTGCTGAGCCTTGCAGATGGGTAGGAAAAACACAGACAATCCCTGTGGTCAGGGAGCTTACAATCTAAATACAAAGGAAGCTGGAAAGGTATGTAAGGCCGCCAAGGCATCCCATTGTGTGGAGTCCAAACCAAGCAGAACTGCTGATGGAAAGTGGACAGTTAGCTGGAAAGTCCAGGTCCCAGCCCCTTATCAAGGAGAGCTTTGGGAAAGGTTGAGCACTTTACCCTCCAGTCTTCCAGTCAGAGAAGGGAGAAAGCCAAGGGAGTCGGGAAGGTGTTGAGTACCCAAAGTGGAGTTTGGTGGTGAGATTTCAGGTGAGGGGCTTATCCTGGGTGGGTCATCGAGTTCTGAGTTCTGGGAATCCAAATCTAGCAGAGCTGCAGGTGGAAAGTGGATAGGAGCATTGAGGGCCCTCACCAACGTGGGCAGCTATGAACAGAGAGAAGGGGATGTATAAGGGAGACTCGAAGATAGAAACAATCAGTCCTGGCAACAGATCAGCTGTATGGGACGAGAGCTGAGGGGACTGGGAGCTTGGTGATACCCTAGACAGTAATAGGGCAATTCAGAAGAGAGGAAGGTTGGAAGGTGGGGTGGGAGGGGGAGATAATCCATCCTTATGGTTTTCATGTCACCCATCCTTAGGGTATTCGTGTTTTTTATTTTCTGGTGAAACTCCAGATATCCCTAGTTCATTGTTTTCATTATTTAAAATCAGTTACAGAAATTAGTACCAGGTATCAATGGTGCAATATGCATCTTAAAGCCTTTTTCATGAAACACTAACACCTGTTAATGAATAGGAGAATCACCAGTGTTTAGCATTGTTCTCAGATACTTGGTTTTGTCTGGGAAACTGTTCAAAAATTACAATTCCCCCCCAGATATCAAAACATGGATCAAGGTATCTACCATCTATTTAAGTCTCTAATTCTCATTAAATAGAACTATTTTCCCCCGTTCAAATTATATTTGATATTGAAAATGTGGATAAAAAGGAGCTATTATTTTGATGAAATACAAGATCTATCTAATGACCTACATATATAGCTGATACAAAGGCATTTTTGGGTGGAGGTGCTGAAATGATTTTTCTGTTTCCGGTATGTGGTAAGACAGCTTGCTTCTGACTAGTGCAGTGACTCAGCGACTCTACTGTGTGGAATTAATTACCTCTTTTATGCAGAGTATGTTAAGGCAACAGGGTCCTAATAACATACGTCAGGAAATCCAGACCAGTTAAAATGCCCACAGTAATCGGTCTGACGTGTGATAAAGGAAAGTTAAATGAAGTTTTCCTCTGAATATAAGCATGCTCTCAAAGACTGTTTTGGTAAGCTGCAAGATTTTTGGTTGTTCCAAGAAAGGAATAAAACTTCTTCCGCTAAAGTCTAGGCATCTAGGTGATGCAGTGAACAGAGCACCAGGCCTGGAGTCAGGAAGACTTGAGTTCATATCTGGCCTCACATACTTCCTATTGATATGACCCTGGGGTGGTGCAGTGAACAGAGCACCAGGCCTGGAGTCAGGAAGACTTGAGTTCATATCTGGCCTCACATACTTCCTATTGATATAACCCTGGGCAAGTCAATCAACCTCTGCTTGCCTCAGTTTCCTCAACTGTAAAATGGGAATAATAGTAGCACCTACCTCCCAGGGCTATTGTGAGGATAAAATGAGAATAAAAATGGTAAAGCACTTAGCACAATGCCCTGATATACAGTAAATGCTGTATTAGCTGCTGTTATTCCAAAGCCTATGGGGCCCATGGAGATGATCTTGGTTTCTCAAAGGCCATGTCAGCTTGGCCAAAGATCTGGCAGGTCTTACCAGCCCAGCTCAGGTCTGCCTAATAAGTCACCGTCATCTGAGCCCTAGCCCAGCTAAATCCAGAGATATTCATTCATGGAAGATTAGAGGGAGTTTCCATAATGCTAAAAAATGTTGAAGAAATAGTAGATAAAACTTGGAGTTGGGATGTATGATAAAGAAATTAAGATAGTACTCATGTACAGGCCAAGAGCAATTATGTGAGTTGTAACGAGTGAGAGCTCTGAGCGTACCATCAAGGAGGGATGAGCCCATAATGAGCAATTTAGTTTATTATATAATGTCCCAGATGAAACGTTAAATCAGGTCAAAAGAGGTGAGTTTCTGGAGAAACCACATGAAAATTCAGCATAAGGGTAACATGACAATATCGATGCTTCTTTCTAGAAATAGCAAATAGGATGCTAGAGTTGTGAGATTCTGCAATGAAAGTTCCTCCAGTGTTTTCATTAACAAGAGGGGAGGCATTTGGCATTAACCTGTTACATCCTGTTCTTCATGGGCAAGACAAGTCTGAGCAATAATTCTTGGGCACACAATCCTGAGTGTTATAAGAAGGTGGCAGGTTCTGTCAGCATCCCAAATTGAAATATAGTTACTAGAAAGTAGAGACACTGCATCTCCACCTGCCCCCAGCCCCATTCCTGTAAGGAGTGACTCTCATCACTTTTCAAGGAGACATATTTTAAAAATACTTAAAACCATAGAATTTCAGGTGTGATTTGGAGTCAAAGGAACTGGAATCCTGCACCTGCTACTACTTTCCTACTGGTGTGACTTTAGATATCACAACCACTTGAAGACTTAGTTTCCCCATCTGTAAAAGGGTAGGGAGAAGGGGCTTGGATTACATGATCTACTAATGATGTGGACTCTACCATTTGAAGCAGCCCATTTTATTCATGCATTTCTCCATGTGTTAGTTTTTCTTTAGGTTGAACCCAAATCTGTATGCCTGTAGTTTCCATCTATGGATCCCTAGTTAGTTTTGTGTTCTAAAACTATATATGTATATATGTGTGTATTTTATACACACACATATATATATATATGCATACATATACAAAACACATATGTATATGTATATGTGTATATAGATACACATACACACACATACAAATATATGTATATATAAAATCTCTCTTACATGAGACAGACCTTCAAATGTTTTAAGACAGCAATGAGTCTTGAGTTTCTTTAACAGTTCCCCCCACTTTGGTGGTTTTGAGACAATCTTATCATCCAGGACCCACCACCTCTAGACACAGTTCAGTTTATCAAACTACTATGTATATTTCTGGGTTCAAAAACTCTTCTGTTCATGTGTATCTTAGGAAAGGGGAAAAAAAAGGACTCTTTACAAAGCCAGTTATAAAATCCATTAGAAGTCCATTACAGCTTCATTAAGAATCCCATTCATCATGAAAGTGGGGGAAGTAAGAGATGCTATGCAGCCTCCCTTGGAGCTGTTCTTTCTTTGTAAAATGAGAGGATTGGTGGGTTGCAGTCCCTTTCAGACCGAAAGCAACAGTCTCGTGATCTTATAACACACTAGGCGGCTACTAGGAAAAACTCCTACTCGGAAGAGTAGAGGCATGTTCTATGAAAGCATGCTAAATTTGCTTTTAATAAGTTTTGTGTCTTTTGGTAACCAAGATGCGTGGAACTGAGCATAAGCAAAAAAGGATTTTGCTCCCTGAAAAGAAATTCAGGGGAGACTGAATGAGAAAGGAATAGCCTCGGTTAATTGGATATGCCCAAGAAGTGCTTCATGCCCTCTCTCTGTTAAGTGGCAGATAGGGTAAATGAAAGAGCTAGGTAAGAACATGTTGATACCAACAGCACTAAAATAATGGGGAGCTGTATAAAAAAAGGTTATCAATATCAGATGTGTAAATGAGAAAAACCTTAAATGTTCTCCTTAAGGTGTAATAAGGACAACCAGAGTTGGAATTTTAATGTGAGAAAATTACCATATTATATGGAGGTTAAAATGCGAA